AAATCATGGGATTTGAATTTGAAACGACCTAGGAAATCTTGAAATGTCTCCATTTAAAATCTTGAAATGTCTGAATATATAGAATGAGCTGGATTAGATTTTTTTTGAAGGTTATAAGATAAACTAAGTGGTTATAATTTTGTACTCATGAGTTAAGGAATTGGAAATACTGTATCTGCATTCCTACTACATTTTCTAAATAGACTCAGCATGTTGACTTTCCATGTGAGGTCAGCCTTGAGCGGACTGGACCGTAGTTGCAACCTGACAATTGCCTTCTGGGAATTTAGATGTGACCCCAGAACATCAAGAGAAGTGGAAGGAGGAATTTTTATTTTACTTGATAGGGATCCTTCTTGATCTAGAAGTGAGTCATTAAAATCATGGCAATGTTCTATTATTTAAGAAGCTGGAAGACGTGATATTGGTAACGGTATATCCCACCCCCTAGAGTAGTGTTTCCACAATAGCAGGCTCTCAGATCTATGTTGAAAGTAATTCTTTGAATATGTCACATTAAGATCATGCAGTACTACCTACATCCCACAACTTCAGGTTTTGCAATAATGAAAAGAAAAAAAATGTTTTAAATAAATTCTATCCATAGCTCAACAAGCATACTTTTCTTCACCTCTATGTATAATATAATTGTGTCCCCATTTTTGAACCCCTTCCTAACCTCTTGAAAAGGTGGATAGAGTTTTCCCTAGCTCACTGACAATCACCTCTTCAAATCCTAAATGAGGTTTTACTGCTTGGCTGGAACTTTGTGTCATGATATTTTTATGCATGTACATATGAGCGTAAACAAGTGTCTGTGAAGATAACTACTCTCGAAAATTGATGTTCCATCTTTATTCAACTCCATAGGAACTTGGAAATATACTACTCACTTTTATTTGACACTTTTATTTCCTCACTACCTCTATTCTACCTACAATCTCCCTCAAAATGCTATTAAAAGTGACTCCTCAAAATTTACTTGCCTCAATTTTGTCACTCATGATTGTAAGTGATTTCATTGGTTGAAGGTTCACATACCCTTAAACCCTTTGAGCTTAACTGGAGTGCTCATGCTCCAATCTATTAATGTAGGCTAGCTATTAATTTTTAATAGATTTATCCTTTATATTTGTAACTGCTAGTTTTGTTGTTTTTCTTCCTTTTTTTCTCAGCCTGACAAATTATATTTTTTTCCAGTTTTATTGAGATATAATTGTTGTTTATCTTTTGTGTGCTGATAATGCCTGATTCTGACACAATCCATGACCTTGACAACCTACTGTACTGTTTCTTGAATGAATTCAAAGTTTGGTTTTGATTTTTGTTATTTTGAATTAAGATTTAGCACAGTTTACTCCTTCCTGTGTATTTTCTACTTTACATATTGCTGTTTAAATTGATTATATTTTGGCATATTTTAATATTTTACATACAATTTGTGCCTTTTTCTCTGTGTAATTTCACTTGGAAGTTTTTTTTTTTTTGCATTTAAATCATTAAGCTACAGTAGGGGTCATTTGTTTCAAATTCTTTTGAGATTTTTTTTCCTTCAGAATTTTTCTCAAGACAGTTATTACTTCCTTATTTCTTAGGCTATAAATGAAAGGATTTAGTAAGGGAACTACTTCTGTAAACAGAATAGCAGCTGGTATATCTTTATCCCCTTCTTCAAGCAAATTTGGTCTAATGTACATGAAGAAAAGAGATCCGTAGAATAATGAAACAGACAAAAAGTGAGATGCACAGGTAGAAAAGGCTTTGACCCTTCCCTGTTTGGATTTCATTTTGAAAATGGTAAAGAGAATGTGGAGATAAGATATTAAGACACTACCAATTGTGAAGACTTGAATTGAGCCTGAAAAGATAAATAGTACCAGTTCGTTGACATAAGGGTCAACACAAGAGAGTCTGTATAAAGGGAGAATATCACAATACAAGTGGTTGATGTGATTAGATCCACAGAAAGCTAACCTAAATAAAAGTCCTACATGGATCATGGAGTGCAGGTTTCCAGCTATATAGGCCCCTGAGGTCATCTGAATGCAGAGTTTCTTTGACATCATTGTGTGGTACTGCAGTGGGTTACATATGGCCACATAGCGATCATAGGCCATTGCTGCCAGGAGAAAGCAGTCTGCAGTTTCAACAGTGCAAAGAAAATAAAATTGTGCCATGCATTCATAGAGGGAAATCATTCTGTTTTCAGAAAAGAAATTTGCTAACATCTTAGGAGTAATGGCACAGGCACAGCAAGAGTCCACAAGAGCAAGGTTTCCCAGAAAGATGTACATTGGTGTGTGAAGACGATGCTCTTTTGAAATCAGTATCACCACGCTAAGATTCCCCACCATGGTGATCAGGTAGATGGCAAAGAACACCAGAAACAGAATGGTCTTCAGCTCTGGATGGTCTGTAAATCCTGTGAGTATAAACTCATTTTTTGTGGTATGATTTTCTTTAGCCATTCCTGACTCCTCTGTTGAGAAAAAAATTGTAGAGAAATGAGGTACTTTATAATATGCCCAGTTCAACTACTGAGCGTTCTCTGACTCAGAAGGACAAAGAGCATCTTCCATAATGCTTTCACAACTCACATGGATTTTGGTACATGCTCATTTCTGGGGAGTATCAATCTCCTCGAGCTGTTAACTTTTAAGCTAGTTACTTAACATTTTCCCAGAATCTTTTCAAGAAAGACATCAGATTAGATGCACAAAGATGGCTTTTCAGGTCTTGAGAGGAATAATCAGTGCAAAAAACTTCTCTGTATGGATTAGGGAAAACTGACTCATAATTTTGGTGTTAGCAATTGGTATCAGTGTTTGCAAACAATTTCAGTGACTGTATCTGTTCACATTAACAAGGTTGTTTGAAAGACTATTTTCATACCCATGTTCATAGAAGCATTATTCAGGATAACCAAAGGTGGAAACAACTCAACTGGATGAATGGATGAACAAAATGTGGTATAGACAGAATATGGAATATTATTCAGTCTTAAAAGAAAGTGAAATTCTGACGTATGTTCAAATATGGATGAAATTTTATGACATTATGCTAAGTGAAATAAACTAGATGCAAAACGACAAATATTCTGTGATTCCACTTAACATGAACAAAGTAGTCAAACACATACAGAAAGTAGAATAGTAGTTTTTAGGGGAGGGAAGGAAAGGGGAGTTGTTTAGTGGGTACGGAGTTTCTGTTTGGGAAGATCAAAAAGTTCTAGAGTTGGATTGTGATGATGGTGCCACAACAATATAAATTTACTTAGTGCTCCTGAAATGTGTATGCTTAAGGATAACTAAAATGATAAATTTTATGTTACATATGTTTTTCTACTATAAAAGATTTTACAAACTATTTTCATGGCCTTTATGACCTTATTATATTACTTATGCATGCAACATAAAGTTGCCCATGTGCACATGTGCATAAAGAAATATAAAGAAATTTAAATGCTATTAAAAGAAATTAAAGCATTCCTAAGGGTTAAACAATTGATAAATTCAACTATATAACTATCTGTCAAAAACATCATGAGTAACATCAAACGTCAGACACAAATTGGGAAATTATTGCAATAAATATTATACCATTTCTGTGATTTTGTTCCATAAGGAGCTTCTACAAATCAGTAGGAATAATCAGTAGAAAATAGATAAAGGACAGAAACAGAAAAACCTCAAAAGAAATACAATTTTAACACATTAAAAATGTTTAGTAATGACGTCATTACTAATCAGAGAAGGATAATTTGAAAGTTACGAGGGCATATTTATTTTGCCTATCAAAATAACAAGATTTTTAAAGTGATACTATATAGTGTTGTCTAACATACAGCACAGTGGAAACCTATTTGCATTCCTGGTAAAAGTATAAATGGGTGCAATCATTGGAAAATAATTTGATAATAGATTAAGGAAAGTCTTAAATGTTCAGACCTGTGACAAGTAACCATGAATCTAGCAGAAAGAAATATTTAAAATCTCTGACAAAGATTGACATAAAATGATGCCCATTCTCATGTAATTGTAATAGTAATAGTGTAATAGTGAAAAATTCAAATGGAAAACATTTGGTCAACATGAATAAGTCAATGTGAGTCATCCATATAATAGTATATTGTGCAATGATTAAAAATAGTGTTTATTTAGAATGTTCAATGTAATGACAAAGTACAGTAAAACAGTATGTGAAAAATAAAATATAAAATTTTATATGGAGAATAATCTTAATTTTCCAAATAAATACTTACATATGAATGAAAAGGAAAGGCAGCACAGAAACATATCAAAATTTTAACACTAGTTTTCTCTGTGCTATGGAAATTGTCATTTTTATATTTTCTTCTATTTCAAATTGTCTACAATAAGTGCTATTTTAACAATCAGAAAGCACTTTTTTAATTAAATAAATAAAATGACATGCTCTTAGTTTAAAACTTGATAATCCCCAAATAATTATTGGAGATCCAACTAATGTTTTCTGCACTCTACAATTCTGTAGTGGCTAAATCACAGTGGATCTGTTGAGGAAGTGTCTGCTTCGTTCTGGTGATAATGACATTCATGGTTATAAATAGTAAGAGTTTGCTGACAATCTTGCAGGTATCTCAGACCATTCAGGAATATATTCACCTCTTGTGGTAATGCATTCTTGAGACCACTTGCCTCTAAAGCAATAATTCTTCAGTGTTAAGTTTTACTCTTTTGAACGTCAAGTGTTTTCACAATATTCTGATTCTATGATGCTCACATTTATTAAACTTCCAGTGTATTTTTAAACCTCATTTATCCCTTATGTTTTTCCTTATAGACCAAGAATTCTAATCTGTTGGGGAATGCTTTATTTCAACCTACCTTCATTTATTTTAGTTAACTCAAGAATGACTTACTCATTGATTTGTTATTTAGTAAACACCTGCTCTGTGCTACATCCTTTCTTAGAAGATCAGTTGACTCTCCTGGACATTTCCACATTGATAATTTACTGGATATGCATCAACCATAACTACACTCTACATTCCTGGAACACAGGGAAAACATTTTGGAGAGGAGATCTCTTTCCTTTTGGCAGTTACTGAAACAGTTACTAACTTTTAAATCTCAGACTATTTGTGACTGATACCTTTAGAAACAATATTCAAAGTGAATGTTTGACATCTATATGATTTGAGTTGTTATTTTTTTCATTAAATGCCTTACTCTTGGTAACCTGAGGTCTAAAAAATGAACATTTTAAAGCTACATAATTTGAATGAGTTTTTTCATTAAATGTCTTGCACTTGCCAAGTTGAAGTCACATAACATAGTTTTCCTTCACTTTTCCCAGTTGATAATTAATCAGACAGAAATAAGTTTTACATTGGTATTTTATTTCTCTAAAAATCAAAAGATAAACTAAAAAGCTCCCTAAAATTACATCAGGGGGTTAAAATATATTTTTCTTCATATAATTTATTTAATACATAGGGAATGTCTGATACAATTTTAAACATCATTTCATCATACAGGTTAATAATCCATTTCATCTGTTAAATTGTAAGTTATATGGCAAACCACATTATTAAAAAAAAACCCAAAAGCTTTGCTAGTGTTTTCTGTTATTACTATAAATGTATGCCTCTGCTTATTTATTTTGGGTAAATTTAGGCTCCTCTAAAGTCAGAAGTGATGCAAACAAACTATAGTCATTTGTCCAGTTTTTATACAATGGATCTTAAGGAAGAGGAGAGACTTCAAGGAACTTAAAAATTTAAAAAAACCCTTAAGAATTATAAGGAAAAAACCTTAAAGAACTTAAATGTTTCTGGAGGTTAATATTTCTACTGAAAAAAATTAAATGCTTTCTCACCTGGATTTCCCCAGTAAGAGTTTTATAAAGGCTAGTTGGTTACCTGATGATGGTTTTCAAAGTAGATCCAGAAATAAAATTCTAACCTCCTGATTGCTTAGGAGACCAACAAGTCAATGATGATATTTATGTCATTGGTAGAGAATGGTTCAAATATTTTAGATAATTCTAAAGGGATTTACTTGGCATTGACATCAGAGTATAGCCTGAGAGACCTAATCTCCTAAACATTACAAACATTCTAAATTGGGATAATTAAGTGTATCCTTTGAGACCTAAAGAGTAAGGAAAATGCCCATTTCTAAGCAAATTTTAAAGGCCATGTTTTGATTTTTAATTCATGTGAGTTTATACTGTTTATCCTTATTACCAATCTCAATATAAAATTCTAATTGGAAGAAAAAATTCCCACTGGATTGGTGAGCAAAGGCTTCATAGAGGAAGTGGGAACTGAGCTAGGATTTACTGACTCTGAGGGGAGAAATTGTGTGAGCAGACGTCTTAAAGTAGCACATTTCCCACCTCATTTTAATGTCAATATACAATTTCTAGAATCTTCTTTTGAAATTACATATATAATGTCTTTAATCTTAAACCTTAGTTACTAGAATAACCTTTACATTTTTCTTGCAAATCCAGAAGCTGCTTCTGAAAAGATTTCTTTCTTCAAAATATTCCCTAATTTAGAACTTTCCCATCATTTATAGTGTAATGAATCCCTGTAGCCCATCAAACTCAACTCTTAATTTGTTTGGTTAATTATATATCTTGATTTTCCTAACCCTACCTCATCTGAGTTCACTTTACCTCCTTGTATTCTGCACTCCCATTTACCATCCCTAAGCCAAGCCCTTCTCTTCATGGCCTTTTGAGTGAGTCACTTTCATTCTTCATTTGGTGCCTTTTGCCTTAACCATATTACCTTCACCATTTTCCTCCATCTGTCTAAATCCTACCCCTCCCTTAATGGTCAAATCAAGATCTATGTAGGACAAGCTCATCTATCTCCTTCTCACTTCCCAACTCATATTACCATATAACACCTTCTCAGGTCTCAGTATTTGCCTTGTGTGATCCTCTGGAACTTCATGGGTGTAGGTCTTATTTCCCTCAGTGTGATTACAACCTCATTTATATCAGGATTATATATATTTCTGAGATGTACCCTGAAGACACAGCAAAAAAAAAAAAAGGCAGAAATAAAGAATTTCCCTCAGAATTTAACTCTTGAGCAGTGTGATTATTTCAGAGGAGGGCCACATTACTATAAAGATGCAGGACGAAGTGTGTTGATATAGCACCATGGGGAGACTTTCTCCTACAAGGAGAGCTTAAGATTTCCTGGGCACAAGGCTCTGCCAAAGGAACTGTGGGAGAAGGATGAATGTTGCTCCTAGCTCACCTCTTACCCATGAAACCATGTAAGCTCAGTGAAAGACTCATGGAGTTGGTGAAAAGGATCATGTAGCTCATTTCTTGTTATTTTGCCTTTCTTACAAATTTATGAAAATTTTTAGGCTTACTTGAACATTTTGAAAAGTCCTTACATTCAGTATCACAAAACAGCTGCCATTTCTTGCACTATTGTTTCATACATTCATGCAATAAATACTATTGTTAGAGGAGGAGGTCATCAAGAAGACGTGACTGCTGGTTGACCTGAATCCTGGACCTGGGCAATTGGGTAGTCACCCTCTCCCCTGTCCTTGGAATGTACTTCTTGCCCACTTTTCCCACAGTGGGACTTGTTCCAAGGGCACAGTCTTGAGAGAGCAAGGTGGTGTTGAGACCGTCTGAGTGGTATACGT